TTGTCAAAATCTGAATATCAGATGTATGAATATATAGTAATTCTCCTGTAGTGTCAGTGGTGCCAGACTGTTCAGGCTTAATTGATACTTTCAGCATAGCCAGTGGAGAGGTGAGTGAGAGAGGCCACCTAAATTATAAACTCGCTGTTAAATACTGCGATATAAAAATAAGGTAAATTTTTTTTTGGTCGTCTCAATTCTAGGTTTCATTTGTGAAATAAAACAAGGTAAAAATACTATTTTGTCATCTCAGTTCTAAGTTTCAGTGTCTTTGGTGCCTTAAAATACTTTCTATGTAGCAGATCAATCTTATAACCTGTATCAAGGCTTCTGGAGAAAAATCACAAAACTACTTAAATGTGGGCAAATGCACTTGGGTGGTTTCTACCTCAGCTGGACTCTCATTTCCGTCCAAAATTCACACTGTGTGTTCTGGTTCTTACCTTTCCCAGTCCCACGTCTAAACCATTTCCATCTCCCTGGTGGTGTCTTTACCACAAGCCCGCCTTCCGATTGTCACCGGATGACCCACTCAGCCTCCACAGTGGAAATCCGAGGTCATCCCTGCCTCTTCTCTGTCCTCCCCGGTTTTGTCTCATGAGCCATGAAGTGCTGCACGTTTACTTGTTGAGGACTGGTTTTCTCTGTTCCTTAGCTCTAGCTGTCATTTACTGCCAGGACTATTTAATTAGCCTCTTAACTGGTCTCACTCTTCTGGGCTTGCTCTTTCTAACCTGTCCTTAACACGGTCACCAAGGAGTGCAAATCTAATCACGTGACTGCCTCCCAGGAAGGGAAACTTCTCATTGGCTTCCCATGGTCCATAAGACAAATTGAAATCTTTGGTCTCGCAGATGAAGCCTTTCCCTAATCTGCCCTCTGCCTAGCACCCTAGCCTCATCTACCCTGGTTCCACATTCGCACCCGTGTCCACACTGTCACCTGACTGCCGTCCTGAGGATGCAGCTCGCTTTTCTGCTGCCTCTAAAACAATGTCTGTCAAGCAGTCTTCAGCAAGTCTATATAAGCTGGAGATAGAAACGAATAGGCTTTCTTCCCTGCCTGCTAGTCATTGAGATTTGCATTCTTCTCTAGGGAGAACATCTAATGTCGTAAGTTGATTATGGATTCAAAAAATCAGAGGATATTTGAAATGTGACTCATTGAATTCCCCTGTTTGGTGAATAAATCTCTTCTCTAGCACCTCTAACTCTGGGTTAAGCTCAAATAACTCCTAGGACAGTGAGCTCATGAGCTCTGCCAACAAACTGATTTCCAGAAAACCAGGATAGACATTTTGGGGTGCAAAAATGTCCTTTCTATAGCTTTTACCTGCCCGTGCTGGGTCTTGGTCTTGGTTTTGGATGGGAAGGGCCCACTCCTTCCTTCTGCGGGTCCTTCAGGTGTTTGAAGAAAGCTGTACTCTCTTCCCCTTAGTCTCCTTCTCTCCCTGGTGGTACGCCCGGTTGTATCCCATGTGCCTGCCACCTTGTGGTGCCAGCTCGCTGCCTTTCTGGGGGCTCCTTCAGCTGGCTCCAAGGGGTCCATGTGTTTGTGTGTTTCCCACCTTGTCCCCCACAGAGAAGCATCCTGACGGCTCTCCCGGAAGCTTATTAGTGTAGCTGGAGATCACATTAGATGCTTCGGCAGCAAGACCACTTTGTCAACTCATATTGACTGTCCGCTAAAGTCATTCCTTGATTCTACGTAAGAGCGGAAACGATGTATTCTTAGCATCCGTCCTGTTACTTTGTGGTTGAAAGTTGAATACGGAAATACATAATAGTTGCACTCGGACAGTTGTATTTTGACCTAAATTTTATCCCTGTTGGATTTCATCTTGTTTGAGAAGAGTTTTTTGTTTGTTTCTTTGTTTGTGAATCCTGATTCTTACCATATAACATATCCAATATCCTCCCCAGCTCTTTGTCAATGGAGGTTTAGGCCATCGATAAATTATTCGATAGGGTGAGATAATAAAATCTATAATAATAGTAGGTATTTATTGAGCTTGAATTATATGTTAGGGGTCACAGCTCAACATCTCCATGTGTATCCTCTGTAGTTTTGCACAGTACTGTGAAGTAGGTGCCATTGACACCCTGTCCTTACACATGAACCACTGAATCAGGTACAGATTCCCCAGGGCTGCCTCTGGAAACCTTTCTTTCGGTTGATGTTAATTCACTCATCAATATTCTGAGAACAGTCTTTCAGCCAGTTACTAACAAATCCACTCACTTTTCCTAGAAGCTGATATATATATAAATCTCTCATATACAGGATGTTGGTATGCCAAACTCCTGATTATTTATCTTAATGGTTTTTCCTGATTAGGAGCATATAAACATTGAGGAAATTATGGTAAATGTAGCAAATTATAAAGGAAAAATAATAATCACTCTGAATCTTACCATCCAGAAATAACCACTATCAACTTTAAAATATCCCATATATATATAAATATATATATATAAAATCATGTTTCTTATGCTTATCAATTTATTCCTTAGTTACAGAGCCCAATTCTTGCAAAAACTCAGCATTTTCTGCTTGGTCTTTCAAAGAGACTCTTAACTAAGTGAGAAGAAATTAGTTAATTGAGTGATTATTTGTCATTTTAATATTTATGTATACTGGATCCCCCCAGCTTTGTTTAAATAATGAATTTGCAATGAGGAATATAATATCTTTCATATGATTCATGTGTAATGTTGGTCTGTGACATGAAATTGAGTGAGGTTGAATAATTGGTAATGTATGTGAGTCCATATACAGTTTTTTTAATCTTTATTAATGCCAAAGGAAGGAATACTAGCATATACTATAAACAGTTAGTTTTAGAATAGAATAAAAACAGTCATTTTTTACTTATATACTTAGAATAATTACTATTTTCCTCCAAGGAAAATTTATTTCTTCAAGGAATCTGCATGGACTCTGACTTATTTGGGTAAATACTTTGATACATGGGTTTATTTAAAACATTCTAAACCGAGTCTAAGGGGGAGAAAAAGGTATGTGTGTAATAAAAAGTACATTTTTATTGCTTATTTTGTTACTCAGGGAAAAAATTTATCTATTTATTTCTTAGGTATAATATTATTTATCTTCTTTCTACCCTGATTTTTAAACACAGCAACTAGCATTTGTTACTTATGCTTTGGTAAGTCACTTTCCCCTGAAGGAATCATTCACACATTTCAGATGATTCTTGCTCTCAACGCTGCATATATACTGCTTTCCTTTCCAGAATGTTTTTGTTTCACCCCAGAACGATTCTGACTAATTGAGCGACATCAAGGTGAGATCTGTCAGGGCTTCTGGGTGCGTCTGCAAAGTGGACTGCTCTCTTCCATTTCGCTCATTTCCCCCTCCCCTCTTCTGGAAAGCATTGCTGAATCAAAGACTGATTCTTTGCCTGAAAATGAGTTCCTTCAATTCATATTTCTGTCCCTGGGAGAAAATTTGGATCTGAGGCCATCCAGGTTATTCTGGAATAGCTGATGATTCCACGCTTGTAACTGAAGCAGATGGGCCTAAATTCTACCTCCTGGTGCTGTGTTTGCAGTGAAGTTAACACTGCAAAGTCACACACCAGTGAGATTCATGGTCCTTCAAGGAGTGAGGTCGCTCAGCGAGTAATAGCATGATGCCTACAGGCAAACAAATAAAAATGAGATGATGATAGTAACAGTGGCTAGCATTTAACAGTTACTACATACCAGAAATTCTCCTGAGTACTTTACATAAGTTTTTGTTAATAGTTTGAAACAATTCTGTGATGTAGGTAATGTTATTATTTCATTATATTATATCCCTTGTAGAATATGTTAATATCATATTCTCTTTTACAGAGGAGGAGAGGTTTGGAGAGAGGCTGGGTACCCTGCAGTAATAGACTCAAACTGGGATCTATCGGACACGCCACAGTGCTTGTAGATTTGAATCTGGGTTCTGCTACTTGCAGAGTGAGTGATCGTGGACAGGTTGCCTGACGTTTTCTGAGTCTCAGTTCCTTCTTCTGCAAAAGAGGAATGAGCAGGCTTTTGGGAGGATCAGCTGGTATAATAGACCCAAAGTCCCTAATGTATTGATTGGCTTGGGGGAATGTTCTTAGCAAAGACTATCTGGTGTAGCCATTATGGAAAACAATACAGAGGATCCTCAGAAAACTATAACTAGACTTACCATATGATCCAGTGATCCCACTCCTGGGCATATATCCAGAGGAAACTCTAATCAAAAAGATGCATGCACTCCAACGTTCATAGCAGCACTGTTTACAATAGCCAAGACATGGAAACAACCTAAAAGTCCATTGACAGATGACTCGATAAAGAAATTGTGGAATATATTTTCGATGGAATACTACTCAGCCATAAAAAGAACAAAATAATGCCATTTGCGGCAACGTGGGTGGACCTAGAGATTATCATACTAAGTGAAGTAAGCCAGACAAAGAAAAGTACCATATGATATCACTCATATGTGAAACCAAATAAAAAAAGGATACAAATGAACTTATTTACAAAACAGAAAGAGACTCACAGACATGGAAAACAAAGTTATGATTACTAGGGGGAAAAAGGGTGATGGAGGGATAAGTTGGGATTTCCAGATTTACAGATACTAACTACTATCTATAAAATAGATGAACAACAAAGTCTTACTGTGTAGCATGGGGAACTATATTCAACACCTTATAATAGCCTATAATGAAAAAGAATATGAAAAGGAATATATATATATATGTATATATAAAACTGAATCATTATGCTATACACCAGAAACTAACACAACATAAACTGACTATACTTCAATTAAAAAAAATCCAAGCCTGTTCAACTCCAAAGCCACCAAACCAAAATGCTTCTGAAACAGCAAAACCAGCTGTGCTAAGAGGGAGACCTGCTCAGAAAAGTGAAAGAACCACCTTGTTCTGCTTATTATTTGAAAACATCATTAAATGGAACCATTTTGTCTCATTCACACACTAGGTCCTTCAGAAGCTTGGGAAAGCTGATGAGACAAAAGATGAACAGTTCGAAGAGTATGTCCAGAACTTCAAACGGCAAGAGGTAAGTACGTTGATCCAGTTTCTGGAGTGGGAATGCTTTGAGGTTGAATGAAGAACTTCTTCACTGGGCTTGTTCCTGGAGGGTGACGCTGCTTAATTCTGTAGACTTTTTAATGTAAAGCCAAGAGGCAGGAGGCAGGGCTGGAAGAAGATTTGAGTTTAGAATCTCAGGAGATTTAAGACTTTGCGTCTCTGGAGCTTTTCAATGCCGGTGACTGATCTAAAGGAAAGAAGATCTTTTTGGTGATTTATATTCCACTAAGTATTAGCAGTCGTTCAACGCTTCTGGCAAAATCACTTCAATGACCGCATGCTTCAAGTGTTCTCAATAGAGATTACATCTCCCCAAGAGGGAGAAAATTGGTTCTTGGTGGATGAAAAAAAACATACTCTTTCTTTTTCTATGAATACATCACAGGAGCAGACATAGTCCATCCATGGTGTGAAAACTTCACGGGGGGTGTGGTTAGGAAAAATTGTCTAGAAAGAGTCCTCAGGGGGAGGCGATAAGGAAAACCAGTTTGTGGTATTTGCTCCTGTAGTAGGCTGCTATGTGTTTAACAGACATACAAGTAAAGGAACAACTGTTGTTTAAATTATTAAGGCTTGGTAAATGGCTAGTATATCATCTAAGGAGAGCAGGGATGAGGGTCAGGGAGAGGGAAGATATGAGCGGGGCTCTCTGAGGTTAGAGGCTTCAAATCTGGAGCTCATTCTAGAGGTGGAGTGGCCAGAAAGCGGGGCCAGCAAACTCTGGAAAATGGGCTTAGGATATAGGGACAATGTATAGGACATAGGTTTATTTTCCAGGAGCAACCAGTGTCCACAGGGGATATGGTGGCCTCTGGGATGACAGCCAGTAATGGAAGGTCATCACAGGTTTTATTTTACTCCCTTGGCTTCTGTTTTTAGATCCCTGATCCTGGAGGTTTCTTTTCTTCCATATGTGTATCAGGTTTCTGACTGTTCTCTCACTGGAGATAATTCCATTTCTTTTCCTCACCAACAGGTTTATAAAATCCAGCAGGTAGAGCCAGGGAGGCTAGTCTCCACCAAAACACATTTGTGAAGGTCTCCAGTTTCTTCCCAAGACTGAGGGTTGATGTGTACAGATTGGAGCTCAATGGACTAAGACCGAGAGCAATCTTGTTCTATCTGAAAATGGGAAATGGGAGGGGGGATTTGGAGAAGAAAACAGTAACAGGGAAAAATAGTTCATGTCCAGATGACTGAGTATTACAGAGAGCTTTGGGTTTAGGAAGGCAGAAAAGAGAATTCCTAGAGAAATGTTGGGTGAAGACCCATGGAATGAGTTGTCCCCCCGTCTCCTCCTGGACAACAGGTTCTCTACTCTCCTTTGCTCTCATTTGGAGAGTTCGCACGCACTTTTTCATGCACTAGGAGAACACTCACGCAGATCGTTGACTTGGTTGGCAGCAACTTCCCACAGAGAAACTTGTCAGTCAGTGCCCTGTTACTTTTCAGGGGAACCCCCAATGTCTGCTTTGAAGGGTTGGATTTGGAT